TGGTGTGGTCTACGTATTTTTACAGAAGATATGGTGTGTTGGCATATTATTACAGAAGATATGGTGTAGCTTACGTATTATTACAGAAGATATGATGTGGTTTACGTATTATTACAGAAGATATGGTGTGGTTTACGTATTATTACAGAAGATATGGTGTGGTTTACGTATTATTACAGAAGATATGGTGTGGTTTACGTATTATTACAGAAGATATGATGTGGTTTACGTATTATTACAGAAGATATGATGTGGTTTACGTATTATTACAGAAGATATGGTGTGGTTTACGTATTATTACAGAAGATATGGTGTGGTCTACGTATTATTACAGAAGATATGATGTGGTTTACGTATTATTACAGAAGATATGATGTGGTTTACGTATTATTACACTACTTCTTTACTTACACTCAAATGTTCTTATAATTCATAAATGGTAATCATATTTCACTCCGTTGAACATTAAAAATGGACTAACCAAACAAGGCATTACGTTAAAAAATAATAATTAGTTGATATTCTATAAACCCTTAACTAAATACACCTTTAGATAGAATCCAAACATAGAATAATGATGAAAGCAAACCACCTTATTTTCCAAACACCAACTCCCTTATCAATACAAAGCATTTCGGTGATTTCTCAACATTGGAAGTTTTCTCATAGGTTAAAATAGTTTTGAACTTCAAACGAATCAATTTAAGTACTTAAGGAACAAGAAGGGATTTAAGGAGTTCTGTATCGTATCTGTGCTGTAAAATTAAAACTATAAAATACAGTAACTTTTTAAAAATACGAATGTTATTATATTTGTTCGTTACCCATTATATCTCAAAATATTGTGAAGTTACACTTCCTTTCTGTCACACATCTGCTTTATAATGGTTGTGAAAAATGTTAATATAGACACAATAAATACAGAGAAAAGGTTTTTTTTAAACGTTGCATGTATTTTTTTATTGCGATACTAAAGAATAACGGTCCAATTCTGCTCACCGAAAATGCAGACATTCGATTACCACAGAAGGACTGGTGCCCAACAGCTAGTCTTCCTCAGGCCCTGAAATAGGGCCCGAGAATATTGTTGTTTGATTGTTAAAAATGCGCTTTACAACCAACTATTTATGTGTTAACTCTATACCTTAGTTGACAGAGCACTTGCCTGTAGTGCGAGATTATTTGAGTTTGATTCCACTCGCGGATAACGTAAAAACCGGATTATCACATAAATTTAAGAAATGTCAGTTACATCGAAAATTCAAAGCTTGGAACAGGAGAATAAAATCAGTAATGTACATAAAGGAAATCACTTTATAGCTTAGAAGAATCTAGTAACTATCAGCTGATTACAGTTAGATTCAAGAAGGTTTGGATAATATTATAAAACTACATATAAGTTTAAGAAAGTACAGTTATGATCAAAGTTAAACACCTAGACTCACTTATGAAAAGCTAGATTCGGAAAACAAAATTTAATTTTAGAAAGCATAGTTACACGGAAAAGAACATTTTCACATTTAAAGGAGAATCGTTAGAGTTATGAAAGAACAGATAATGTAAAGATGACTAGATTCAAGAGGACACTTTTAAAGTTAGGAGACCATGGCTAGTCTAAAAATAGTAGAATAAATTTCATAATATTGAGATTGCGTTAGACATTTAATAAATTACTTTTTGTTCAGATCAGTTAGTTTCAGAATTTTCCTGCTAGATTTGCTAGAATAATGGTACGTTCAAGAAAGATCGAAACAGATTTAAGTGAAGATCAGAAGAAAACCGTTTTATTCGTAAGTAAAGTACAATCAGGATGAGTGGGAAACAGCTTCAGGTGAGCACACTTAAGATTAGAATGAAACAATGAGATTCATAGGAGTACATCTGAGCCCAAGGAGAAAGCGCTCTCATAACCAGGCCACTGCTACTTTGTGTTTTTACACTCAATAGAGTAAGATTTAAAAGGGAAGACTTTAACAAATGTAAAACTACATTCACAAGAGTCCGTACAGATGCATTCAAAATAACAGGGAAATTACAAGTAAATCTAAAAGAGAATATTTAACACAGATTTGGGACAGTGCGGTTACAATTAATAGAATGCATGTAATTTCACGAAAGTAACCTCTGCTTCAGACTATTATAATAAGGTCAAGAGGATACCTTGCTCCTGAAAATAATAGTCAACAGCACTGCTGCCAACTTGTGTTATTCTTAACTGACCGAATATTGAGATTTGACCGTCATTCTTATAACGCACACACGGCCATAAAGTGCGGAACTTTTTTTTTCTGTAAACACACGCAAAATTAGATACACAGATCTACAGTCCAGCATATTATCCAATGTCAGTGAGCCGCACTTGGCCTGTTAAAGAAAAACAAATAGGTTCAGGAAGAAATAGCTAGATTCAAAAGAAAATACTTAAATAAAGAAGGGAATAACTACGTTGAAGGAAGTGCTAAAAACAATTATGTTAAGATTAGAATATTATTCCTGAAAAATACAATTAAATTTAGAAAATACAGTTGTGATTAGTTATAATCAATAGAAAGCAGTGAGGCTTGCGAGAGTATAGTTAGATTCAGGAAACTGTAATTACAGCTAAGATATATTTATATTCAGGTCCTACGATCGGTTTCGAAAGTTAAAAGATATATACAGAAGAGCGCGACCAGGTTCAATAAAGATACATTCATGAAAGTATATCGTTCTCAGCAGAGAACAGATAGATTAGATATCTTACACCCCCCCCCCCCCAGTGGCACAGCGGTATGTCTGCGGACTTACAACCCTAGAAATTGGATTTAGATCCCCGTGGTGGGCAGAGCACAGATAGCCCATTGTGTATCTTTGTGTTTAACTTTAAATAACAAACGAAGGTGTCTTAAAATAACATGTTTCAAAAGAGTGTTCTTAAGTTTAAAGTTAAGACCAGGAGGATACAGTCAGATTCACTAGAGTGAATTTACTTTCAAGAAAACACAGACAGTTAGAATCAAAATGTCGAATTAGATTTAGGAAAATACATCTAAGTTCAATATAACGTTTTTTAAACCATAAGAGCATTGTTTAATTCTCGAGAATACTGTAGTATTCAGCAGGGAAGAGTTAGATAAAAATACACCTTGAACTAAGAGAGTATTGGCCAAGTGCAGAACAGTATTAATAGCCTCAAGAGTTACATTCAGAAAAGGTAAGTTAAAAACAAATACTGCATTCACTTTCGAGAAAAAAAAAACAGTAGAGTTAAGGAGAACCCAATTAGATTCAGAAGAATTCAGTGCAAAAGGATCGAGTTAGTCTAAAAGTAATACAAATGGTTTCTCGAAGCTATAATTAGAATTAAGATATACAATTAGATTCAGAAACACTACGTTACAGTTCTGAAGATTATATTCGTATTATTTATTGGTTTCAGAGTCTCCCCAGACATAGTTCGGAAAATATTTCTTTCAGATTACTGCTGGACAAGGTAGGTGATCAGAAACACTACGTTACAGTTCTGAAGATTATATTCGTATTATTTATTGGTTTCAGAGCCTCTCCAGTTCGGAAAATATTTCTTTCAGATTACTGCTGGACAAGGTTGGTGATGTGGTATGATATTTCGTCTGGACTATCATTTTTCAAAATGTCACAATACCACAAAGTATTTCTTTCTTCTTGTATTATTACCAGTAGATCAAGCCCGAACCAGCTAAAAAAAAGGGCCATGGCGCAATATTTACCCCAGCAATTTTCGCGGTTAGGATACATTAGACGTATCCCAAAACCTTCTTTAGATTATTCAAACCAAAGAATGAGTCTCGAAATTCATTCGTCCACTGATTAGTGAACTGTAGTATGATGGAGCTGAAGAGTAGGTATGCTTGAACCCTTATGAAAATATTGGGTACTATATTTAATGCTAGAGATTAGGTATTATTCCTAAACACGCTGTAAATTTTGCTAAGGTCAAGGAGTAATTAAGTTTCTGTAGTCCAGATAATATTTCAAATGATCATTTCCTCAGTATATTGCAAACAATGACCACTCATACAATCAACGTTGTACCACGACCGTATTTTTATATAGAGATCGATAAGGTACTTTTCTCATTACATTTTGTCTCCAACTGGCTACCTGTGGCGACTACTAACTTAATAATCCCAATGTAGCAGACCACCGTAGGATTGCAGTAATAAATAAGGGGCAACTATTGGCTCTGTAGTAGGTATCTGGATTTTGGAGTTGGAAAGACGGTCTCGAATCTGTGCGATACCATAAAATATTTCCCTCACTTTAAGCTCTAGGCGCAGTTTAAGAGTGGTAGCCAATCAAGATCTTAGTATGGGTGGTGAACGGTAGCGTGCCGCTGACTGGTTGCCTTCCCTTTGGTCAATAGTTCAAAATTATGGACGACGGCAAATAGCTATATAAGCTTTGTCATACATACCATATGCAAATTCGCAATCCTTTTAGAAATACACGTAATTTTGATCAATATGTGCGCATGCGTGTTCACGAGTTTGCTAATTAACATATTATCGTATTTTCTTTTCTTTTTTTACAACCTGAAGAAGTGAACACAAAACTTATTGATTCTTTAATTGAATTATTGTTTAGCTTGTTAAGTGTGAACTTTTTAAAAAGTATTTTACACATCCAATTCGATAATAAAAAAACAGTAACAACAATTTTTATTTCAACAGATATATTATACATCCAGATGAGCACAGTTTTTATTACTTTATGTATTAAGTCGTTTGACATAAAAATTAAATAAAAGTTTTAGTTTGCAACACCTGTACAGCAAGTAGCTAATACTGCGGTATATTTTAACTGTATAAAACCACATTGAAGCTTTAACGAATTCCAATGTTTTTAGCAGCATATATCATTATAACTTAAGCTTATCCTAGATAACCTTTACCTTTTTCCCACAATGCACTAAAGCTGATTTTAAAGCGGATATTATTTACGTTTTTCGTTGTTGTTTTTTTCACCAAGTTTTAATGTACTTTAATAGCTCCGATGGGGTGAGCAGGGTATCCCTGTTTTACCACTGGGTGTTTGATAACGACAGGAGCAGGAACAGGGTTGGATATGATGGTCACTCCAGCGGGGTTCTTGTTGTCGGTACCTGGCTCACTTGTTTCAATTTGGGCACGGAAACCTTCAACGTCAGCAATGTATTTCACTAGACGGTAAACACCGTTAGCATCAAAGTAACCGTAGCTTCCAGTGACACCTCCGCTGCCGTCACCAGACTCCTGGCGGCTCAGTTGAGTACCCAACTCGTCAGCTGTCTGGAAACCGAAGTCGTAAGGTAGGGGAGCGGGCTGAAATAGATTTTACCAAATATAGAAAAAAAAAATTGGTAATAGCATGGCTCTGTTTAATGTTATGCGCTATGCTACAACAGCTTAACCTTTTACAACAACGTAAAATAACAATAAAAAAACTTTGTCTTGTGCATTTTTAAGAAAGTATTTCTACATCCGTATTTGAAGTACTCAGAAAATCTCTTCTTCTAAGTAAACAATAACGAAAGTAACGATAATTACAAATATATCTCGGTGTATTTTAAGCAAAATGGAAAAACCTTTTTTTTCGTCTAACTGCTAAAAACTGGATAAGAAACCCTGCTACCAGAGACTATATATTCGTTAGTATGAAAGTTAAAAGTTATTGAAACTATCCAATGACAAATAAAATAATAAACAAATAATTAACCTCATCAACTAGACAAAATGAGAAATTTACATGAATTTATCTACCAAAATATTAACTTTACGAAATGCCGTTGGTACGTTTTTGTGGAACATTTAATACGTGCAATGGTATATATTCGTTTTCTGATTAACATTATCTACCAGGATGTTATATTTTGTAGATATTTTAATACTTACGTAATAAGCGTCTGGATGGTAAAGAGCTGGGTCGACAACACCACCGCCATAAGCTCCCGCTAGAATGGCTAGAAAAACAAATATCTGCGAAACGAAAACAAAGAAAATACGTATCAGTATAACAATAGGTAAGGAATCAGTCTAAAACAAAAATTTATATAGCAGGATTACTTTACCTTTTCCACAAAATAGCGCCAAATATATTATACAAATATTTACTTTAGGAAGTATGATCTAAGATATTTACAAGAGTACAGTAACAGTTCAGAAAAATAACTTTAAAATGAGTAACTCTAATAAGTGACACTTTAAATTTTAAAAGCCAAAAAAGGTAGAGCAACAGGATTTTCAAATCACGAAACAAATTTACATCAAGAAGCAAACTGATTAAGGTGGGAGTAATTAAACTGTTGTTTACATCTGATAAGATAGTAGTTATCCCTTAAACAACTGTTGTTTACATCTGATAAGATAGTAGTCATCCCTTAAACAACTGTTGTTTACATCTGATAAGATAGTAGTTATCCCTTAAACAACTGTTGTTTACATCTGATAAGATAGTAGTTATCCCTTAAACAACTGTTGTTTACATCTGATAAGATAATAGTTATCCCTTAAACAACTTTTGTTTACATCTGATAAGATAGTAGTTATCCCTCAACAAATTCGTCATAAAACTAGACATTTGATATGTTAAGCTCTAGAAATCAGTTTACTTAACGGAGATTTTATAAAACTCTTATCGATACTTCACTTACTGCTTTTATATGTATTCAAGTTACCACAGACTCGAAACTCACCTTCAACATTATGATTCTGAGGCTAGATTTAAGCCTTGAGTTCAGTTCAGACACTGTTATTGCTGTTACTGCTTGATAATTTCCCTTGTCTTTCCTTCTTTTATATATACGTACTAACAGGACGAAAGAGGGCGACGGCTAGTTTGTAGTTTTACAAAACTAAAAAAAAATCAGGCAGTTAAACCAACACAAAATAATAGAAACACGCTGCATAAACTCCATACTGTTTCAAACGGCATGGTTCCATTCAGCTAAACTTTGTATTAAAGCAAGTTTTTTCAGACGGCCTAAAAATGTCCTCTTATTCTAATACTATTTTCTTTTCTTCAGTGAACCTCAAAAGAGCAGGATACGCCCTTAGTATGTTGTAACGTGAACCGATTTAAACTTCACTTGTTGTTGACTTGGACAACACATTAGAGTAAAATTGAGATAAGTTGATATAACTCTAGAACATCAAATATTTTCGGGTACAGCAATTAAGAAAGCCAAGAAAGAAAGAAACTCTATATGTTTTAAACATCATTACTGACAAATAGATGTACAAAAAAAACGACTTCGTCTTCGCATATGAACCGCAAAATTAGCTCTTCCCTTAATCCTGTAAACGGGGAATGCAACTTAACTTATTTTCGAACATGGTCGCTGTTTATCAAATATAGTTAATATTATAGACAATAAACCTCATTAAAAATACCTATTATGTTGCGTCTTCCACAGCAACACAGTTGTTGAGCATAGAAGAATTATATTTTACGAGCTGATAGATCTACATAAGCACTTTGGAAAACTGTAAGTCGTAGGTGACAAACTTTGCAGGAACAACAGTATAATTATAATCAAATAAGTATAAATGGTTTGCATCGTAAGCAACAAGCATAACGTTTGGTATTTATAAGTGTGAATTTGAATTTTCAACATGAACAGTACCATGAGCCCGTGGTCTAAATGGCTAGGTCAGAGACCCCTAGTGTTCACATTCCTAATTGTTATCTGGTGACCAAAAGTAATGCAGCTACCAACAACACCTGCCGCCGCAAGAGCTTGGTTCGACTATTCGAACTGAATAACGGGGTTGACTATGACTTTTATAACGCACCCACAACTGAATATGTGAAGTATCGAACCTTGGATCTACAGCCCGATATGCTAGCCTCTAGGTCGCGCTCTGCCATCTTTTAGGGATTTGTAACATTTTACGTTACTTGTGATATGCACAGATTAGTGAACATATACTTGATGAGATCAAATACTTACAACTTTTTCGTAAGAATAAGAAAATAATAAAACAGAAGTTACTTGAATATTAGTTCTGACTATCTATTGGTTATTAGTTTATCACTCTCAAAAAGATAAGCTCATTCTACAGACTGAACGATATGTAAGCAAATCATACTTTCATTTATAAAGCATCAAAGTATGGAGTAGGTGTATGTGACAATGGGACGGGAGCCATGAACCATTGGATTTCACAGTCTAGGCACGTTAACCCTAGTCCATTCACGAATCCTTTTATTCAAATGTGGCTTCGGTTAATTTGATTTAAACCAAACTTTTAGTAGCACCGGTTTTTAATCGTGCCCGACCACAAACTACAATGGCCCCAAATTTCCAAGAAAGAACAAACTAAAGAAGTTAGCTTTCATTACGCAGCATCATAGAAGTTTCTTTTAACACCATGTTGTTGAAAGTGCTACCAAATACGATTCTTCGTAGTACACAGTACTACACAGCGTAAATACGATAGTTACATCTGAACAGCTTCCCTGCCGGACACTGCTGCACGAAAAGGTAGCATATCACTATCAAGATTTACTTTTGTTACACTTTTATACACAATGTTAGTGAGATATCTTTACAATAATAGTTTCCCTTTAGTACACAAATGTAGTAAAAGTTTTCTCTTAGTATGCAGAGATTAGATGCACTTTATGTGAATGAGTTGCTCATGTTCTTTTAGCGACTTGTTATCACAGATTCAAGCCGTGACGCCACGAAATACATGTTTAACCTCTCTCTCTCTCTATATATATATATATTTAGTTCACAGCCTCTTCATGACTCTTCAACACGACGTTGCTGTCACGGGTAGACTTGACGCTGGATTGTTTTAAAGTTTTTTCCAAACCGAGATTTTAAACGATGAATTACGTTTTCAATGTTCTATATGGAAGCAAAACATCTCATGCAGTAAAGAGTTTGAGACAGAAACAGGATCTGAAACCACATTACAAGCCAAGTTAGAGCAACACTCCAGTCCAAAGATAAACGGCTGACTGTTTTCATAAAAAAGATAGTCATATAAACTGGAATCACAACAATCCCATTTGACCACATACAGCCAAGTCTAACGATACAGCTCCCATTGACCTTTATACCCTAACATTAAAACAAAATAACACTGTACCTTGAAGCTAATGTGAAATATGTTAAGTAACAATAATAATACTGCATAAATTAAAATGAGATATATTGTTGTTGTTTTTCAGAGATTAGGTATCTTGAAATCTAAAGATAATTAACCAAACAAGTACCTCATAATTGTGCAGTTTATCTTATTATACACACCGTTGAAAGTTTATGCATCTACCGCTCTCTAACGTTATAGTAAGTGACGTCATTCAAACAGAATCAGAAAATATGACTTAAAGTGCATAAAGGTGTCGACGGTAATATGAGGTAAATTATAAACAAGGGCGTCAACTGATACCCTAAAATCAAGCACCTAGATTTACTTGTTTCACTTCAATCCTTCTCGAAGGAAATAATAAAAAGGCAGAACACTAAATAATCACCTTACACAAGAAAGATTGTTCGATATGTTCTTTCTTGCTCTGTTTGATTCTTTACTTTAGATTGTTTCTCTCTATTTACAATTATTGCATAGAATATATTTCAATTATGAGCTTTGAGATTCTTAATTGTAGCAAATGTTATTCGTTTTAGGTTAGGCTTACTCATTTAACAATTTAAGGTTTCTATCACCTGCAGTACCAAATTTATTACATCCTATTTTTCAAAAAAACGTGGAACAATTAGGAAGTAGAGGTTATCAATATTTATTATGTATAAGGATATAAGTTCTAATCTGAAACTACAAAGCCCTAATGTCTTTTCTTATTCAGAAATCAGAATATTGTCTAATAATAGTCCTTGTTTAGAACACTAAACACTACGAAAAATGAATAGATTTTTGTTTACGAAAATCTCGATTCTTACTAAAACTGTTTTGTTGCTCATGGTTGCCATAGCAAAGATAAGTTATTGTGCAGCTTTGTGCTCACCAGTAAAACTAATAATCTTGCTAAATTAACAGAGGGTGGAAATGAAGGTATCGAATTTGAAGATATGAAGAACTTTGAAAATATTAAATACTTTACTCATTCCGAAATAGGTGTTTTTGGATTTGCTGTATTAATTACTCGCAAAACATTAATAAATACGAGAAATATTTAACTTCTTCAGAATCACCTTTTAACCAATGATTAAAGTTTGTATCCTATTAAATTTTCCCTCTCCTCATTGTTTTTGCAAGGTATTCAACAATTTTATGTTTCATATTCACTCACCCCCACCAGTGGCACAGCGTATGTCTGCGGACTTACAACTCTAGAATCCGGGTTTCGATATCCTTGGTAGGCAGAGCACAGATAGCCCATTGTATAGCTTTGTGCTTAATTACAAACAAAAAACATATTCACCCTGATTATTAGGTAGCCTATTAAGAGCATCTAGCCATTTAGTGGCTCAGCGATAAGTTTAAGTGAGAGCTCATACTTCTAAAAATCGCAGATAACCCATGGTGTAGCTTTGTGTTTAAGAACAAACACAAAATTAAGAGCTTTCGATCAAATGTAAGCTAACGTGTATATCAGAATAATATGATTCGCTATAAATTTTAAAAACCCGCTAATACCAAAAAAATATTTTTAATTGCGTATGTTTCGGAATTTCCTTAAATTCCATCATTTAAAATCTAAAAAAAAAACGTTAGTTCATATTATTCGAATTACAAAAAAAAAACATTAGCTATTGAACGAGTTTTCCTATTTAAACTGAAGTTTAGAAAGAACATTTTTAAACGGCAACAATATAATATAATGTACCATAAAACGTGCAGCATATACATGTATAACAAATAACATTTTTAAGAGAAACCATTACAAAGAAAGGCTTAATTATAAGTATAAACACTGTATTTTTAAAATAATAATAAATATCAAATAAAAGCACTGAGAATCCTGAATTGATTAAATTAATGGCAACAGGAAGGAGTTGATGTTATTATTTAGTGTTGGGTGATCATTGAAAATGGAGAGACTATCTTTAATAAAGAATTAGTAATCTATGGTTTTGGAGTCGAGATTTTTTAAATTTTCTAGAAATATGGAGTGGTTATTCTCACTGTGCAATCGGATACAAGATTCGTGTGGGTTAGCTAGATTGTATCCGCTTCTAGCTGAAATTCCCATACGCTCACGTACACGTATTTGTAGGTAACGTGTAGTTTTACCAATATAGGTAGCTTTACAACTACCACAAGTGTATTTATATACGACCCACGAGTGTATAAGAATGGTTAGAGCGTCTTTGGTTTAAATATATATTTTTAATTTTAAATGTTGACGTAAATACTAAACGTAGCTTAATTTGTGGGAAATATTGTTTGATTATTTCTTAATTGGATGTTTAAGTTTGCCAATGAAAGGAGTGATATGAACTAGTGGATATTTTGAGACAGTGTGTGACTTTTTGGTAGGTTCTATTTTATTTGTTAAAATTTTTCGTGTGATAAAGTGTAAGAAATTAAGGGGATAACCATTACTTTGTATTATGTTATGAATTTTGGAAATTTCTGAGTGAAAACAGAAGTAGTCTGAACAGATATTATATGCTGTGTTTAGAAGATTTAGAACAAGGTTCTAGTTTCAATGAATCTGGTATGAAACTGTTGAAACGAGTGTATAAGCCAGTAAATGTTTTTATATGGTAAACAGATGTGACAAAGA